ACGGAGGGATCAAAACTGTGCAATTTTTAGAGTTGAGGGATAAAAAAAATGCAAAAAATTGTTGAGGGATCAAAAATGTGCATTTCTTAAAGTTGAGGGACTAAATTAAGTATTTAACCTTTTTTAATTGAGATCCCCCTGTAAACATATCACATTCATGCTAGAAGAAGATGAAAGCGGAAGAGCAATCCCTTCAAAAGTAGAGTCTCTGAATCCAATCATTGCAGAATTCATAAATTTCGAATATTATGACCCCCACCAACAGAGTGTTTGGCGCTATTTGATTGACTGAGTTCATCCTGCAAAGAGATTTTCATACAAGACAAACAGATCATCTGCCTTGAAACGAAATCAAATCAGGTCTGCAGTCTCTGGACATACCGAGACAAGATGAAACAGGTTCCCTGAAGTGAATTGGAGAATCAGTTTAGAGAAATCAAGGTCCAAGACAACAGTATCACGCAAAGAATTACACCAAGACCAAGAAAAGAAGGAAGACCAACCTTTTCCAGTTGGTGTGCTATAGAACTGTCCCTATCTCTTCCAGGGATGATTTTCTTTTGAGTGCTTTTCCGACTAATACAGGGGACCAGTCTCAATAAGTTCAGGAAGGATGGAATATGCAATTTACATTGAAAACCATAAATCCGTTTTTGGGAGATTCTAAACTGATTGAAGAAAAAGATTGATCTTTGTTTCACTTGTTATGGTTAAGCATTCCTTGAGAAAAGGAAATTTTCTCAAGAAACAGAAAAGGGAAAGGCAGAATGGAGGCCATTAGCTAGATTTTCAGTCATGTTTCATTTTCTCTGCAGCCAAACAGGAAAGAAAAACCCATTGGTCTAGTGAAGGCAGTAGAGGGCAACCGATAATGGTTAACAGATAAAACTGTTTAAAAAAGAAAAAGAGATTCTTCCCTAATCATGGCATCCATATATCTGCAAAACCTGGAAAACTGTTTTCTGCTTTTCTGGTTTGTTATTCACACCAAGTTGAAGAAACAGGGTAAAAAAGTGAATGTAAGCAGCATATGTGAGATTATCAAGGGCACTCTCTTTTTTCGGTAAAATCATAAGCAAAAGTAGGAGAAAAGAAACATTCTGATTTCTATCATTGCTTCACTTCAATTCCTTTACATTCCTTGTCTATCACTTCAGCAATAAGTATTCATAATTTCCTCACCGTCACCACTTTGCATTTGCATTTAAAACACAAAGTTAAAAAGTAACAAAATGATTGTCTGCAGCCATCCTTCACACCTTCATCCACTCATAAAACACTCTTTGAACCAATAAAAGAATCATGAATCAAATAATCCTTGTGTATCCACTTGGCGGCTTCCCAACACATGAGTCCCTAAATTTTGCAAAACCAAAAATGATCGATCATTATTACATAAGCAAGCTATTTTTAACTTGAGTAATCTCTAATAAGCAAAAGAACTACCTCATCATTGTGAAGAATTGCCAGTGCTGGTGTGGAAATTTTGAGATGCCGAAAAGGTGGTGGTTGTTTGTTAATCAGGCAACTTAACAATGCCTTGTAAGGAAATTGGTATTCTGTAAGTTAACTTGATATGATGATTGAGAAGGGTGAGTTAGTGAACTGTGGAATTAGTTGACAACCAATTACAAAATTTACACCTGGTCAAAGAAAATGTACAGAAGATTAGGCAAAGGAAAGCAATAACTACAGAAAAACCAAGACAGCAAAACCAAGAAAGCAAAAGAAAAGACGACCGACCTTTAATTTTTGTCAGTGAGTAAGGGAATGTCACCATCACCCCTTGAGAATGAATATCTTCAAAATGATTCCTACAAGCAATGGGGACCAAAGTCTACTCAATAATGGGAACAGGAAATGACTCTTTCCAAGGTACATTACAATAGAGAAGAAAGAAAGTGTAAATATGAAACCCTTTCATCTTATATCAAGTAAAATTCTTTTCCTAAGATGGATTATCACATAGATTCCCATAAAATGACCAAGAGAGATGATTTGGTTTCTTGGGAGATTCATCACCGGCATATCTCCATGTTGAGGCCTTGGAAATTATAACCACAATGATGAAGGAAGCTTGCATGCCAGGCTTATTGTTTATTCTAGAAAACTTTAATGCAAAAGACTGGAAAGAGAGAAGTATCCAAATAAGTTAGATGGAGGCTTCACCTGATTGATTTGTGTTGCAATCCATACCAGACACAAAAACACACTGAAATCTGCAAAAGATATTTACAGCCTGGTTATAAACTACAGTAATCATAGCCAAACCATATTAATCACTTGGTCAAGGGAAAAAGCAAATAATTGAAATTGAGAAAAAGGGTATTGTAGGCATTATTAATGGAATAACTTAATAATGTGGAAACAAAACTATAGAAAAAGAGTGGAAGCATACTTGAATTGGGGGAATTATCTTTCCCTCATCCTTAAAAAAAGCTTAGTTCTGTGAACCCACGTGTGTAAGGCAAAAGCTCCTCTACCTCAATCCTAGAACTAGAGCAACTTGTGGTTCTCTTCAATCGGCTTTGAGTTGACTCAACCTCAGCCCAAAATATACCATACACTGGTCTATGATCTGAGAACCTAGATTCTCCACGAACATAAGATGACTGGTGGAGGCCTTCTCCATGCCATAATATTCGATCACACCTTCACACATAAAAAAAGGTTTAGTTTAGTTAGCACCTAAAGTAGTTTGAGTTTATGAACATGAAAGCAAATTTAGGAGATCATAACTAACTACTTTATATGCCTCATTTTCTTTTATCACTTTTTTTTTTCTGCTTTTCTTTTATAAGTATTTATTGTGGCTAATGAATAGCAACCTGTTCTTACCAAGCTGGAGTTCGACGTTTCTCCTTTGGGTGCATATCATCTCCTGCATATCTGTCTGAATTAGTTGAGTACTTGTATGTTGGAGGGAAATAAATCTTTCCTTCATGCCATCCCACAAAGACGCGCCCACGTTTCTGCTCTAGTCGTAACTGCCAAGAAAACCATCAGTGAAGCATCTTAGTTTTCTCATTATAGGATATTGAAAATGGATTTCGGATTTAGTAAGGAGGACATTTGCAGAGTCCAGGAACATGGAACCAAAGCATACCTGGTCCTTTTCTAACAATGCCCTCCAGTTCTGCATCTCAACTAGTGCCTTGGCAGATCGATAAGGGAGGGCAATACGGTAGTTCAAATCACCAAGCCAAATGATTCGACTGAATATTGAAAGTACATAATTAGAATGTGGAAAGAAAAAGCAGCTAAAGAACCCAACAGAACTATCTTGCCACAAGTATGATGGATCCCTGAGTTGAGTCACCAAGTTTTAATGTAAAACATGATTTGAAATTCTGAGAGGACGTCTCTGGCAAAAAAATGGATCAAACCATATTTCAGCCATTTCAAACCCAACATATCAATTCAACTTCCCTTTTTTTTAATTTTATTTTTTATTGGCAACGTATCAATTCAATTAACAATGGAAGGGGAAAAAAGTTCATTTATGTTTTGTCCTGAATCCATATAATCTACTTCCTACCACTATTCCCCCTTCCTCAGATTAGAAATGGTCTTACTCATGCTCAAGAATTGTTTCAGGGGACTTCTCAGCGGCTGCACCACGAACCCGTGGAAACCTTGTCTTCTTAATAATCTCCATCACATCAGAGTTCCTCCTCAGCTCATCACCATCTTTTTGTCCCGAGGTTAAATGGCTGCAGATAAAGCAAAAGCTTGTTTCATGCACCAACATGCTGATAGAGATAGATCCCTGGAAACCAACCAGCATTAGCTAAGCACAAATGATTTGGATTCATGAGTAAAGACCATGTACAATACAAACGAAGGTAAACAGTAATATGATCATTCAGTTATTACCTTATTTCCAAGGTATCCCATCAATCCCCTGCCAACACAAGATACTTTCATGTTTTTAACATGATCTCTTAACGCACTTTTCACCCAAACTGTGAGGAATATACCAACCATTTGCTTACTGGCCACTAAACAGTATCTTGAATTGCCTGGGATCCTATGTCCATTTTCATTGGAAGCGGATCCACCATGGGACATTGGTGAGTATAAGACAGTACTAGGGGAATCCCCCATGCCATTATCATCATCGGATGAACCCCATCTAGAGTAATCACTAGGCCTAGAATAATCACTTGGCCGAGAATAATCACTCGGTCTGTGGGAATAATCACTAGCTCTGTGAGAATAATCACTAGGTCTGTAAGAATAATCACTAGGCCTATAAGAATAATCACTAGGCCTGTAAGAATAATCACTAGGTCTGTGTCCCCATCTATAACTGGAGTCATAGTCACTCGACCGGTGACCAAATATTACCCGATCACAAACACTAAACCGTCTATCAAGTCTTGGTTGTGAAATTGAAGGGTCACTGTCAATTCCCCAGCTATTAGTTGTTTGGAATGACCGGCGATGGAAAAAAGATGCATTCTTTTGCCTAGATGACCCCTCAAAATCAGCATTCATCTCAACAATTGGATGAGGAACTGGAGATGGTGTATAGCATACTCCACCTCCACTAGTTCCAGGCAGATTGTTTAGGGTCCTTCTAATGAGATTCGACCACTTTTTGGCAGGACCATTGTCTTCTGCACCGAGAATATTCCCAGCATTCAAAGGAACTATCTCCTGAAACCTGGGGATGGAAGAAAGATAATATTCTATTAGCAGTTGATTTAAAACAGAGTTTCATAAGCAAAGACATGATGATGAAAACTAGCAAAACATACCCAAGAACATAGATATCTGCAGGAGGTGATGCATGAAGCCAATCTTCTAGACTCAAATTACCTGGTGGGGATCTTCCAGCCACATTCCATGTGCCTACAAAAATGCTGCTCCAAGTTCCAAAAGAAAATGACAACTGGCATCAACAGTCCAACAGATCACAGACACTTATGAGAAAACTGAAATTATAAATTTAAAAAAATACCTGTAATTCTGCACATCTATGATTCGAGGGTGATCAAGATTCATTCTCCCTCGCCGGCCTTGCTCTGTACTCTTGCTAAATTTCTCTGTGTATCAAAGTATAGAAGATCTTAGAAAAACTGTAGACTAAGAGGGGGAAAGTTTTTACCATAAGAAAAAAAAATGGCAGTACCAACCTGTTTTGCTCTTTTTGATTGCACAAGGCTCCCCCTCTGAGAAACTAGTCCTGCACCCCGCTTCACCCCCTAAAGTTTTAAAATTCCACAAAGAAAAACAATTTGCTATGAATTAGCTTAATCTTGAAACGAAATATGAAATAGCATATATGGAAGAAGGCAGCGATAAATCCAAAAGGAGGACAGAAGCAGCAAGCATATTCATTCGCTAAAAGTACCGTTCAAGAATATCTTTGTTAGAAGAATAAAGGAATATACACCAATGCCTTGTTTGTGGAGAAAGGGAAGAAAGTAACATCTTTAATTTTCGATGCAATTTCACAAATAGCAAGTTTCAATTAACTGTTTAAGCCATGATTTTGAAGTAGTCTATTTGAAAAGAAAAACTGTTCATCTTCCTTTGTTTTTCTCAGTAACCAAGCAGATTGTGGAAGGGAAAAACAAGTATTTTTCTCTAGTATGAATCCTTAGATGTTAATCCTTTCGTCATTAAATAAAAATAACTGATCATGTAAAATCCCAGAAATGAAAACAAAAATCCCCACCTCCATAAACATGATCATTTGCCTGAATGTCCTCAGTTTTGCTCTTGATATTGAACCATTTTCTGACCAGTTTCTTGGACCATGAGAGCTTCACCAAGACAAAGTAAGCACAAGAAAGAAGAATCAGTAAACAACCTCCAAAAACCTGTTCTACAATTTTGGAGACCTAAAAAAGAGAAGGAATAGAAATACAGAAAGCCAAAAAAAAAAAAAAACCTTGCTTCTCTTAGAGTTCTCATCTCTCATTGTTTCCCTTCTACTTCATACGGTTCTTCAACACTCCCCCACTCCACAATTCCCAAGTTTGGATTTTAATAACCAGAAAAGGTCAGATATTGTAGAAACAAAAACCCAATTAATGGGTTTTTCAACAAAAATAGCAGAAACAAGTTCAGTTCTTTAACATCAGAGGAGAAGGCAAAGAACAGTTCAATAAATGGGTTTTCTTACGTTTCTAAAACAAGCTTAGAACTGAACAAAGAGAACAAAGAAGAAATTGGGTCTTTTTGTTTCCCTCTTATGGTGCTATAATGTACATGAGACACTGAGAGAATCAACAAAGAAGCACAAAACCCAGAAGAAAGAATGAATACACACACCAACTAGAAAGAGAAAGAGACCACTTTTAATGCGTGGAAGTGAGCTGAGAGATTCTTGAAGTAGAACAAGACAATGTGGCAGACTTAAGAAGAAAGAGAAAAGAAAAGAAAGCAAGCTTAAATGATTTAGTATGAATATCTTCTCTCTTTGTTAAACAAACAAACAGCCTCGTTCTCAGGAAACGGCAAAGAATCGAATTTGAACAGAATAAAGTGCATTCAGAGAGAGAAAATCAGAAAAAAAAAAAAGAAAAGAAAAAATACTATAGACTTGGTCAGTTGGTCTAAGGGGGCTTGCTTTTTCTCCTTTTGTTTTTGGGTTTTTTTTTTTAATTATTTTTCTTTTGGGGTTCGAGTCCTTACACCAACCAAATCTCAAGACAGCTCCAGCACAGCATGAAGGGGGCAGAGGGGCAATGTCGTTTGCTTCACAGCATTGAACATAAAACGACATGGGTCAGGTGAGGAAAGGCTGGTCAGCATTCTGTTCCTTCTTCTTCCTCAGTTCGTTGGTCTTCCATCAAAGTAAAAAGCAGTTAAAGAAGGGAAAAGATAAAGGGAATGTGGTTTGCAGCATAATATTTTGTTTCCATGTCTGCTGCTCCCTTTGTTTTTTTAATTTTTTTTTTTTGTTGTTTCTCAATTTATTCTTTTCTTCATTAACAAAAAAAAAAAAATTTCTTTGGAAGGCTGCTCTGTTTTCTAAATCGGAGTGCTTCTTCCACCTATAAAATATTTCGGTCTAAGCATTCCATTCATGTCTTAATTAAAAATTTTATTAAATATTACATCCCTCTACATCCTATAAATTTAATCTCAAATAATAAGTGGAGCAAAATCCCTCATCAATTAAATTAATTTGTGATGATACATGGTAGCATAAGTGGTTGTTTGTTTGTAATTATAATTATAAGAAAGAAGGGGATGCTCTTTCTAGATTTTTTTTTTTTTTTTTGGGTTTTTTGCATTGGAGATGTTGAGAAATGTGCAAGTTTGATTCTGAAGAGTGATTACTGGGTGAATGGAATGGAATGTTGGGGATATTGTTAGCCATTGTGGACATTATCTAAATAGTCAAATCTAGTGATCTGTTCTTGTTTCCAAGGGCATTTGTCCCAGTTTCAGGGTCTTTGTGTTCTTTCTTTCCCTTTTTTAATTGCTCTAGACCTCCTATTACAGAAGCCAGAATATCTGGTTTTTAGCACAAGACCCTTCATGGATTAGGGTGATCCCCTTGCGGCCTTACTTTTCCTCAGAGTATATAATAGTGAGCGGCTTCCCGGGCAAAGTTGTGCTTAATGTCTTCACAGGATTGCCCTTTTATTTTTGGTTTAGCATAAAAATGTTTCCGAACTTATTTTAAGACTAATTTCTTTCGCAACAAATTAGAAACAAAGGATTTTTCTATGCCCTTGTAACACAAAATAAGGGTGAAATAAATGCATATTTTCATAATTAATTTTTATTAAAAGTATAAATATTAATTTTAATTTAATTAATTAATTAAAATAATTTATATATCAATAATATTAAAATATATGTCAATTTTTATAATTTTTTATATGAATTAATTAAAAAAAAATATTTATTATAACTTTAATCTATGCCCTTAATAAATGATTTTAGAAAAATTTATGAAAAATTAACTCTTTGTTTATCTTTTCAACAAATCAAAATTGCTCTTCGGTCACTTAAAGTAGCTCTTAGGGTATTAAGCAGCCTTAGCTCCTAAATTGAGAATTTACATATCCTATCCAAGTGAGAATTTAAGAATGAAATAATTAAGATTTCATATAAAAGAAAGAAAAAATTATTCACCTGCATAGAAAATGAAAAAAAAAAAAAATTCTTAACATCTTAATAAATTTTTTATTTGGGGATGACTTTATTGACCAATGAAATTTAATAAGTACTTGGGGAATGCAGGCAACATTAAAAAGAATGTGTTGTCTGTTAATGTTTGGCCTGGTTAGAATGTATGACTAATGATTGTTGGGTCTCTAAGCCATTGATTAGGGGGGCAAAATTTTATATGCTCTAGGACAAATTTTTAATGTGCTTGACGGCGGAACATTCCATGTTGGGACACCCTACGAAGCCATAAACCAAAGCATCCACATTCATATGCTCACCAACTTCATAAAGCCTCCACTAAACCTAGTGCAAGCTTCACTGGCATTATAACCTGTTGTCCCAAATAAGGGATTAACAAAGATTGTTTAGATTTCATGTAAGATCTGTCGGATTCCAGTGTTTCATATATTTTATCTTATAGGATTGTTTAAGGATGGAAATTGAGTGAAATCATAAGAATGACTTTGATTCCGATACCATATCAAGGAATTGTCAATTGAATAAAAATGATTAAAATGTGAAAACCATAGTGTCAAAGCAAAGGATCTTTCAATTTGTTGAATATGAAAATTTCACATTGTAGGTATAACAAATAAATATATGGGTTAGATACAAAGATGATTATTTCAACTTATGTCAATTGATTTTTTATTAGATATAAGTCTTTTGTTGAAACCCACATATCAATTTTCATATGATATCAAAATCCAAACTCCATTACTAAAAAGGCAAGCTCCATTCCTGAAAAGACTATTATTAACCCACTTGACACATATGATATGTTTGTGTGGGGACATGATTAATACAAAAAAGATTATTTTATTTATTATCAATTAATTTTAATTTAACTGTAAACTGAAACTCACATGTCAATTTTTACATGATTGAAGGAGAGGATTTGTTCAAATACAAAATTAGGAACACATCACCAACCGATTTACCACCTCCTCATATGGTGATTAGTCATGAATATAGAGCTACCTTGTGTATTTTTCCTCCAATTATGTAAAAAATGGAGTGGAATCCCATTTGTTCAAATCAGGCTTATCTAATCAAAGCACATAATGAATTGCCTCCATTAAATGTAGTGACGTGCTCTTTGCTTTTCCGTGAAATTTAGCACTTGTATTTGGTATTTTGCCTCTTCTAATTAGTGTGGGTCTTTGGGAATCATGTGAGGCAATAAGGGGAACAGAAAAGAAAGTGACAATTGAATAATACAAAGAAACTTGTAAAGTGAGAACTTGTATCAAAGGCGCCTAAAGATAAATGGGTCATGTTCTGGGTATTTTGGATGTCTAAAGAGGGCATGGGCAGAGACCCCATAAATTGGAAATAGTCTTCCTTTTCTTTTTTCTTTTTTTTCCTCCAATGACAAGTTTGTATGGATGGTAGGGCATCTAAGGAGATCCATGTTTTGGGATTCAAAAAAGACATGATAAAAAAGCAAGTTGGAACAACATTTTTTCCTTCATGCCTCATTGTAAGGAGGAAAAAGAAAGTGCATTTGTGTATTCTGTTTTTCTCCATTAATTTGGTTTGGGTGTATAAAGTAAACACAAATAAACTTTAAAAGTTTTTTTTTTCAATATAAATTACCAATATATTATGTTATGTCAAAAGAATGCCGTCGAACGGGGAAAAAAAATCAAAACCATGTATTTGTTAACAAAAAAAAAAAAGTGTTATATGGGAATAAGAAGAGATAACCAATTATTTAAAGAAAAATAGAGGTTCACATATTGCTTAAAGAGAAAAATGGGTCCAAATGTTCATTCCAATTAATGGTAAGTAGAATAGGATGCATTTTGAACCCAAAATTTCCATCCATTTTCAACAAGTACATAATGAATTTATGATTCTTACAAGAATCCTTTTTTTTTTTTCTTTTCTTTTCAAATTTAATCAATTGATGTGCCTCAGAAGTCATAGGACACCACATTAATTGATCTATTGGTCCAATAACTAAGGATAATAAGTAAGGTTTTTGACTTTCTTTGTAAGTGGTCAAGACCATATATAATTAGAAGACACAACTATCAACTACTTAGTATGAATTATTTACTAAGTATGTAATTTCTTGCAACATTTCTAATATTAACATAAAATGTCTTTCTTTTTTATTAAATCGAGAATAGGAGTTTAGAAATCTTCCGGGGACCCAGCAAATTTTGGCATGATGAAAGCATTATTGTATCAATAAAAACAAAAAGAAAGTCATTAGTAGTAATTCAAATACAGTAACTATTGCAAAGGACCAAAAAAACTAAAGAATGGGAACTTGGAAGATTTGTTTTGGTTTGCTTGCTTTTGCTTTTTTCTTTTTGTTTATCCCAAAGCCAGAGACAAAGCCATCTTCTTCTTCTTTGTGAATTTGAGTATACAAAATCAAGGTTTACGAGACGGTCAAAGGCAGCAGTAGCTGCAGCTGTTGATTTTTCTTAATTTGAGATTCTTTTGGTGCTTTTGAGCCGGGTTTTAGAATGGTGACCCCATTTTACTCCTTTAAGAGCATGGTTTGTTTTTTTTTTATTTTTTTTAAATCAAGTCACTGTCTTTGACTCTTCAAAGTAAATGAGAACATTTTGGCATTAAAAATATCATAATTTTTAATAATAATCATATGATAAATTCAATAAATTTAAGATTTATATTATGTTTCCCATATTTAATAGTGGTAATTAGACAGCCTTGATATTTTAAGTATCAAGATGTTATTATTTTCCCTTTTCTCACATATATATATATAGAGGTATCTTATTTCGCAATTTGGTACAGTTTATATTATAAAATAATTTTTGTATAAAATTCATGTATTATAGTTCAAATTATACATTAATAAACTATAAAAAATAATTTATTAAAGACATTTTAATAAATTTATAAAGGAGACTATATGTTTAATGTATAATCTACCTTGTAAAACATTTTTTTTTTGTTTTTGTATGCACAAAAAATATTTTAAAAGTATAATTCACCCTATAAATTATTAAAATACTCTTAATAAAATAACATAAAAATATTTTTATTAAAAATATTTTAATAAATTCATATATTGTAGTTGCATTTCAAATTGTAAAATATAAATTCCATTTACATATATACCTTCCCTAGCTAGATATGTCTCAAAATTTTATACAGGCCTAGCTGATGATTTACCTTAATAATTTGCTTCTGTATGTAGTGTTTATTTTTTGCTCGCATTATATGCGTGTTTCTGGCCTTGGTGAAGAAACAATTCAGGGTAAACTCACTTCTTATATCTATATATATATTTAAATTAGAAATCTGAATTCTTGACACAACAAATGTGAAAGTGAAAGGTAGATTTACATCTTCTGTAGAAAGTGACAAGGATTTTCATTGTATATATGGAAAATCTCAATTATCAACATTTACATCTAGTCATACTCAGGGATATATTCAATTAACAATTATAACTTGCTATAAAAAAAATACACATGTTATTAGGACTTACCAAACAAAATAAATAAATAAAAAAAATAATTCCCTATAGATACTAAAGTTAAACCTTGAAAAATCTTTAAAATAGTAAAGACTGTTATGTTCCAATATTGAAATCAATGGACTGAGAAAAGAAAGAACTCGCTCTCTTGCATACCACTTTGTAAAAAAGTTGTCTCAATTAATCATACACCTCAAGAAAATAATGAAATTTATTAGTTTTTTTTTTTTATGTTCAATGAGCTCAATTTTAGATATTGGTAGTGAAAAGGTTGTAATAATTAGTAAAACGCATGTTGGACTTGTTGATTAAATTTTTTTTTTTTCTATTGTTTTCGTTCTCTTTCAGTTGTTTTCAAAACCATGATTCTTTAATTGGCGCTTATTTAAGCAATAATTTCATCATTGCTGATTTATGCAAGTGTTTCTTGATTTTGTTAGATGTTCTTGTAACTTGTTAGTTAAAATGTTATAAAATATGCTGTATTATTTGTTTATGGTGTGAAACAAATGTAATTTGTATTGTGTACGTTTTGTGTATTACTTTTTTTTTAAATCTTCTATTACACAATAAAAAATAACTTTTTTTCATTCCTTAATTCATTTTATATATATTATATAACTCAAATTAAAAATCTCTTATTTTTAATAAAAATTTATTATTTAATTAATTAGGTCATTGAGGTATTCTATGTATTAAGAAAACAAGTTTACAGTCTAATTTTGTACTGATTTAGAAAACAATATTCATTGTTAGGGGGAGAATTACCTTATATTCAAAGAGTTCATCTCTCATTAATAATAATAAAATATGCAACCCATTCTGTAAACAATAAATCACTTTTCTATTATATATTTTGCATTAAAAAAATAGTAACGAAGGTTGGACCACACCAAATTGGGCTTGATAGCTGTATAGGCTTTAGAGAATGTTTGATGGCACGACCAGAAATAAATTACACAAATGAAATAATAAATAATGTTAAGTTACAGTTAATTGGCAGTTGAATTTCTTTTTGTTTAAAGGAATATTCTTAAACGAGAGAAGATTACAAATTCCAGCCCCCCTATTATTTCTTGATTTTCTTCTTTAATTAGAAATAACGAAAATGACTTTGAAGTAATTAATATTCTAATTAACAAGCTGCTTTCAAGGCTCCAAACAAAATTCGAATTATATATTCTTACTAATCGACAATACTCATTTATTTTATTTTATTTTTTTGAATGTTGGGGTGTGATTCAAATCCCTCGTCTTCAAGCTTATATAAGAAATTCTTAATAAGGAGATAATGACCACTAAACTATTAAGATATTCTCAATCGACAATACTTATTTAAATTTGAAATTTATTGAGATTTTGATATGTCATCTTTTAACATATTCTTGTTTTGAAAATTTAGGTTTCTAACCAACCAAGGACTGTCTTGGTTAATAAAGGAAAGGGAAAGGAAAGACAAATGAATGTTTGTGAAAATTCCTAAATGTAATGTAATGAGATTATAGAAGAATATGCGGGTCAAGAACTCAGAACCACATAGTATGGCCTAAAAAATTGGGCGTCAAATCAAATGAGGTTTGTGTCTGTGTCAAAAATCTTGTCCTTCTTCATGAATATCCTCCCAAAGTTAGAGGTAGCATTTATTTTTTGATGGAAACCAACGGCACCACCGTCAAACTTGTGGAGCTGAAATGCACCCATATGGCCTAATCAAAGTATCTGGGGCATGTTTGTTAGGTTGAGCCTTTAATTGTTGCCTCACATGTTCATGTCAATCTCATTTCTCAGTCTCAGCATAGTACCCACCCACTTTGAACATTACAATTTTCACAAGCATGCAATGCAATTGGATTGACTTGAACCAATATGGCTAGCATCTCTTATCAATGGTTCGATTTCGATTGTCCTCTTGGAATGACATATGACATATGGGCACCAGGACCAACCTCGAGGATTGGGTTCGAGCTGACCCACATGGGCCTGGCTCCTTTTTTTTGCCATCCATTATGTCCAATACGTGGGCCTATTTTAGCTTTAGACAAAAGTCACAAAACTTGTTTTTGTTATTTTTGGTTTTAGAATGTGTTTGGTTTAAGAGAAATAGAAGAGAAGATGAGAGTAGAGAGATAATTTTGTTGACTAATCCACTGTTTCCATCTCTTTTTTTTTTATAAAAAATTTATGATCAAGGTGTTTTCAAGTTAATTTTTATGTACTTTGAGACTAATTCCTTTTTAAATGATCTTAAAGCCTCACATTGACTTAATACATTTAAAAAAATTCATTTTTTTGGGTACTAACCCCAAAACTTGAATTTTGAAATTAAATTCAAGTTTTGAAATTAAATTATAAAATGGGCACTTGTTTGTGCAGTGAATCTAATTCTTGGAGTTGTATTTTCCTCACTTTGTCGGCCCATATCATTTTGGGTTTTCAGGGATTGAAGTTACAGGCCTAAAAAGTTCTAGCTCAAAGCAACATTGGATATGGAATTATGGAACGATATTTTGGGCTTTAGCCCATTTGAATCCGGTTTGTTTGACTTGTAGTGTCGTTTCTATCTTTTCTTATTTTTCTGAGCTAGGACATGTCCGTGTGCTGAGCGAACTCGGCGTAAGCGCGAACTCAGGAGAATGCGTCCCGCAATGGAAAGTTGCGATTCTTCCATTCTCCACATGCTTTTCCTTGGAATTCGGCTCACTCGTATAATTATAATAACACCCGTTTTTCTTGGGGCTTTTGGTTCTCTTTTGAATCTACAACAACTGGTTGCGTAATTTCAACAAACAGTTAGTATTCATCCAAAAGGAAAGAAGAAAATGGTCTCTTTGCTTCTTTGGCAGCGGAAAGCTTCAGCCTTTGGGATTTCTCGCATCCTTCAAGGTTAGACCCTGAAACCGTTTGCTTTGAGAACAAAATTCGCAGATTGTATTTGCTGTCCTTGTTTTTTTTTTTTTTTTGGGGGTTTATTTTCTTGTAACTATCTGTTCCAATTCTATAGGAATTCCAATTTTGAAAGTCCTTCCTTTTGTTGTTTTGAGCAAATAAGTGTAATTTGTTTGCCTATTAAATTTGCAATGTATGTAGTAGGAGAAGCTGAAACTTGGAAAGCAAGAAAGGCCTGTAATACCCATCTCGTAATTTATACTTAAAGTTGGATTCTTGGGAGCTTGTAGTTCTTTTGCAACACTAATCTGGTATTATAAGATAATAGTAGAGAGGCTAAAGAGTTTAGGTTCATTATTATTGGTATTGGGTCTTTGTCGCTTTTATTTGGGCTTTTCAGTGCTTGTGTTGTGACATTGTGATGTCTATCTTATATGTATATTTTTATCTGGGCTTTTCAGTGCTTGTGTTGGCATATATTCCAAGATCAATACTTTAGGTCATTCTTAAACATGTGGTTTAACAGAAAGTTCAGCACCTTCATCCTATTCTTCCTGAAGCACAAATGAAGCAATGGTAAGTGAGATGATCTGCCTTGCATGAATCCTCTTCCATTTTCTGTAGCCATTTCAATGCCTCCTCTTCTCTCGAATGTGCACAAGCAGAAGCAATCATGGCATTATATGCCCATCCTTTTGCTTTATATTTTGCTTTTCCGTGTCCTCAAATATTTTACGTGCATCATGAAGTCTATCTGCCTTGCTCAGGATGGAAATCAATAAACCATAAATGAATTGTCTGGTAAACAACCATCACTCTTTATCTTCTCATAAACCTCCAATGCTTGAGTAATCTCACCTGCCTCACATCGAGCTTTCATAACAAGGGTGTAAGTCCCTATATTTGGCTTGCAACCCTTCTCTTGCATTTCATCCAATACAGCATCAACTTTGCATTTCCCTATTTTTTTTATGTTTTAACACCATGGTTGATGGTTTATTTCAGCCTAAGATCCTTTTCACGACGGTTAGCCTCAATAAAGCTGGTATAAGAAGCAACACTGGATTGATACCCATGTTTCTCCATTTCATCCATAATCATCCTGGCATCTTCTAGCTTCTTAGCTTCGCAAAAACCATTTATCAAGATATTGAAACAAATTGAAGTCAAGGTATAAGTTCCTTGAACTCAAAAAACACTTGATAAGCATGATCAACACTGTCTAAGGCATTCCCCTTAACCAAAGCAGCCATTAACACGGCAATTGCCTCTCCATCTCGGCTAACACCGAATTTCTCCCATGTGTTGAAAAAAGCTGCAATAGCATCACTGTACCTTGTAGCTTTAACTAACCTCCTCATAACCTTACTCATTTTAGTCTAATGTAACATACCCCTTAAACTGCTGCATTTCCTTAACTAAATCCCGCATCAAATCAAACTTCTTTGCCTTTCCTAATATATCAACCATGGTGTTAAAACACCTCAGAGGGATGCTCATAACCAGTTTTTGATTTTACC